TGCCACCGACCCTTCGCCCATCGCCCCTTCTTCCGCTAGCGCTACGGCCGTCGGCTCCTTCGCTGCTGCCGCCTCTGCAGTCGCAGTTGATGTTGCCGCCACGGAGTCTCCTACTTCCAAACTAGCCTCCGTCGCTTCTCTCTTGATGATCGCATGTCCCTGGGACTCATTCCCGTCAGACGCCTCCTCCTCTTTCTCCACTTCCAGCTTCCCTGTCTCGCCCTCTGCGCCGTCGCATTCTCCAACTACTCCAGTTTCCACACCCTTCTCCTCACCTGCCTCCTTCCCATCCTCTGCCACTTCCCCTGCGCCGTCCCCTTTCTCAACCTCCACACCACCGCATTCCCGACCCAGTGCCTCCTCTTCCCCTTCCCGCTCCTCGCCCTCCTTCACCTCCCAGTCAACGAAGTCAACGATGCCGTCCGCCGCGCGGATATTCCCCACACGCGACAGCGCTTTCATAACCGCCAACACCACCTCCTTCTCCACAGCCTGCGCCGTCGACACGGACGTCAGTATGACGTCGCGAGAGCTCAAGGCGCCGGCAAGCGCCGATGCCGCAATCAGCTCGTCGTCCGCGGCGCTGGCGGCGGCTGCCGCTGCTGCTGCGGCGGCGGCGGAGAAGGCCGAGCCAGCAGCGGCGGCGGCGGCGGCGGCGGCGGCGCGGGGACTGCCGTTTCTGCTCCTGCTGGTGACGGCATGGTCGAGAACAACGCCGAGCCTGGCGGCCCCGACTACTGCCTCGTGTGCCTCATCCTCCGCTTGCTTCGCCACCTCGAGAGCACCGCCAGACGGGATACTGTTGTCGGGATCCCAGGGGAAATAGTTCGAAGGAAACAGATGAAAACGCCAATGTTAGTATCGAATGATGAAGCGCAAATAGCAAGCATAATAATCATTGACACGTTTCAAGTTGAACGCGAGTGTGCTCGTGAGGGAGTCGAGTCACAAACGGCAAAAGAGCGAACAGGCAAGGCTTCTTACCCTGCTGCGTCGAGTATGCGACACCACGAAGCTTCCACGAGAGCCACCTGGCGTAGCTGCGAGGCTCGCTGCGCAGCCATGGCGGCCTCCTGCTTCTCCCGCTCCAGACGACCCAGCTTGCTCGGGATCAGCAGCTGCTCCAACGGCGGCTGCGGTCCTACCTCCTCCTGCAACGACCAGAACATCAGACGGGGGAATGCAGAATGCGTCATTCGAAAAGGCCGATTGCTGAAGAGTTGGCGACGCAACAAACAAGCGAAAAGTGTCTCTTTTCGCATGCAGTCAGCCGCTATGGAGGATGACGCAGAAGGACGGCGGAACGCACTTGTATCGAACAGAAAGAATGCCCGTCTGAAAGTAAATCTGCGGCAAGGAATGCGACGATTGTGATGGAGGGTCGCACCTGCAGCTCTCGCAGCCTCCGCGTAAGGTACGGCTCGAGTTTCACCCGCGGGAACCACGCCGGCTGTGGGGACGCGACAGGACCCGTTTTGGTGCGAGTGGCGCTGCCAACCAGGCTCCTGCGACCACCAGACGGTGTTGACTCGCCCGCGTTCTCTCGCGTAGCGCTCTCGCGTTGTGAGGGGTGTGGGATTGGCGGACTCGCTACGACTGGGACGCGCATTGGCTTGATAAACGTGTCCGGGTTTGGAATCTCGCCGTTGCTTGCGACCCTGCTTGCACGGTCATCTGACGGTGCAGCGGGGTCAGAGACGTGAGGCTCAGGAAGAACTCTGTTGGAAGCGTCATGGTGTCCGTGGATTCCTTCTCCGGGATTCAAATCCAATGGCTGCGTCATGCTGGCTTGTGTCGTTACGTAACAAATTTCGACAGGACAATAATGCCTGAAAGTACAACAAGTACTTGTCTGCCCCGAATAAGCTGCTCAACAGCCGACAGCCACAGCGTGAGAGCTAAACTTGACGAATATAATGATAGCCGACCACAACTGAGCTAGTCTGCCTGCAAAGTAATGGAAAACAACGGAGCAGAAAGGATAATAATTGGGAATCCTACAATCCTTGTACCATGGACTGGTGCGTGAAAGTCATTGAAATATGTTCCCTTCCCAGCAGTTGTTGCAAGCATGAGGAGTTGAAGGAATCTATTCCCAAGGAACTTGGGAGATTGCCGCGATGGCGCTTCGGGGATTGGTCTGCCTGCGGAGTCCGAGGGGAATTTCAGGAATTCAGCAATCGCTCTTTCCTGTGCGTGGGAGCTCCGCCTGTCATGGAATTCGTTTCGCGCTAATTTCTCTGGGTCTGGCGGGAAAGTTGGCCCTCTGCCATCCGTCACTCTGTCGCCAGTCTGCCAATCTGACGAGCCAAAGGAGTCATTTCTACATGGTGTAGCGAAACGCTAAGTTGCGACAATATGCAAGTCATTTGTTCGATTTGTTTATGAATGTGGAGCATAAAGAGGAACATAAGGCTGGTGAGTAACTCAACATCTAAATCTTCTAATCTGTTCCAACCGTTCTCTACAACCTTATAATAAAAATAAGACCATTGATAGAAGCTAGTTCAGTGGCAGGACACACTACTTCGAAGAACCAGACCCCAAGCTCACAGAGGCGACAGACGAGGTAACAGACGAAACTGAGGACGCAACTCCCTTGAACATTTTCAGTGCACCACCCCATGCAGAGGTGCTGCGCTTGACAGCATCTGTGCCAGATGACGGGTAGACGAGCACAGGGCATGGTGCATTGTGCAGCAGGTGCTGGGACACACTCCCCATCATTGCTTTCTGGAAAGGGCCACACATGGGAGGGATATTGTAGAGGGAAAGACAGACAGAGAAAAACGTCGGGAGAGAATAATGTGTGCAGTAGAGGGATAAGGGGGAAGGGGAAGGCGAGAAAGTAAAGTGACTGAGCAAAAGAAATGGAGCAGCAGGAGCAGGAATTCCATCTTGGCGCGACTTTGATAAGAAAGAGTCGGATCTAGAATTTTGCCAGATTTTGTTTGTCTTTTTCCTTTTCTTTTTTTGTGTAATACATCGTGGCCTCAAATGAGCGCCTTTTTGGACTTGCCTTTGTTAAGAAATCATGGCATGCGTTTCCAATGCCTGACGCAGACAAGCGGAACCGTAGCATGCGACTGGGAGGCAAAATGTGGTGAACACTCACATTCAAGAACATCAGCAGAAAAAGGAGGACTTTATCAAGCGTCGTACCGTGAGAGCGGTCTTGCCCTGGCTTCCGACGATGATGAAGTCCACAAAGTCCTCATTGGCGCGGTTGCACAGCACGTCTCGTGGGTCTCCCTCGCCCAGCATCGACTCCACCTGAATACCCGGGTGAGCAGCCTTCACCTCCGCCGACGCCTCGTCCAGCAAATCCCCTGCCTTGGCTGCAATATTCGACTCCGATCGTTGAATTTCGGCGCTGGAAGCTGAAATGGACAACAAAGAATTTGGGAAGGTGTGAAGCCAGAGATTCAGCTGACAGGTACATTGATGTAAAATTCGAGGAAAGATGAAGCTTATTACAGAGAAATGTACAGACGCATGACTTCTGACACTGAATATAGCGTTGGGACTGAACGTCGAACGGGGGCTTATGCCAAACACGAAACACCAAGCCAGCAAGACTGAAAACAAATAGGACTACACAATGTTCCGCTTAAGCGAAGAATGGGAGCACAATGTTAACGTGAATGAACAACACTGGGCTTCTCCGCTGACTGCAAGGTACAGAATCAGAAATGACTTACCGTCAAACTTCGGCCTGACGAACATGATGATGACGTAGTCCGTTTTCGGATCAAATATATTATCTACTGCATAACTCATAGCCTTCTTGCTTGCATCGCTACCATCTATTGCAATCAGAATGACTCGCATCCATGTCGGACGGCTCGTCATAGGTGCCATCTCAATGTGTTCACGGATGACCGGTGCGACTATCTGTATCAGGAGACTATGACCGACGTGGTAGTAGAGCTCTTCCGTATGCAGCTAATAAACACGTGTTTTACGCGTGTGCGTGTAAGAATAACCAGAAACGGATTGGTCAAGAGACTTGGTTCCAAAAGAGTAGCAGAGCAACTAGGATATTCCCAAGAACCATAAAGTCAAATTGGTGAGCTTGGCTTGAGGCACTGAACTGAACTGAACTGAACGGATGTGAGCTGAGGGAGGAGTCTAGCCCAAACCCCCCAGCTCCCTCCCAACCCAAACCCAAGGCCTTCGCGAGGTCAACCCGCAACACACCACTGGTCCACCGCCGCCAAGCCTTCCATCGATCACTCCTCTGCCTCATCCTGATCGAACGGAACCGCCATTCGTTGTGTTCGCGTGTCGCAGGCAACTCCTCCACGTGAGGCTTGGCGATGGTTCCCTCGCACGAATCTGACAAGTAGACGAATGCAGATGGAAGATGACGGTCGACGACTTTCTGTGCGAACAATGTTCGTCGTCCGATTGATCGTCTTGGTCAGATGGAACCAAACGATCGTGAACTTCCTGCCCGTCTATCTCAAGGTTGGCGGCAATTCATAGATAATGGTTCATGGGTGAGCTGGCGCTTGACCACAACCCAGGAGACGTCAGGAACGACGTGGATTGAATCCTTGGTGGTTGCTGAGTCTTGAAAGACGAACTGTGATTGGTTTGACGAATAATGGGTTACGAGCGGCTGACCAATTCGTGATCGGAAACGACAACACATGGCACTCCGATGCCATGTGGCAGCAACTCACGAGTCACGATACGACACCCAGGGTATTGGGGGCCTAATACAGAACATACAAAGGCAAGAAATGGCAATATGATTTATACTGAATCACATTCTTTATGAGTCTGATTAGGCCCTCTAGAATGCCTTGATTAACATAATACAGTATATATTGAGAGAGACTAATGTAGAGTAAAGTTTAATGTATTTAATTGAAGAAAGACAACAGACAAGAGGCAGCCCTTCGTGCTAAAGTGGGCCTCTGACCTACCCTCCCAACCCAACCCAAGAACCTTTTCCAGTTCCCCTTGGAACCATCCAGCCCATCAGAGCTTACATGGCTACGTTTCGTGCGCTGAATGCGGGGAGCAGAGGACGGGGACGAGGCAGGGATGCGTCCCGCGCCACCAATTTGTCCCTTGTGGGGGAGGGTGGTAGCGGGAACGTAGCGCCTGGTAGCACGCTAGCGGCGGATACGGAGAAGCTGTACTTTGATAGCTACGCGAACCTAGGAATTCACCAGGAGATGATTCAGGTGGGTCTCCGGTGATTAACCAGCGTTCCTCAGATCCCCGATATAGTGTTGCAAGCGCGAGTGTCGCCGCCTTTGTATGGAATTACGATTGCTCCTCGTTCGAGTCTCTGCCATTTGTAGGATGGCCGATATATGCGAGGGATCCCATCGAACGCGACATAGGACGTCAGCACGAAGATAAACCTGTCCCACTAAACCCCGAACCCTGCACCCTGATGCCGCGACTTACACTTGTTGCCTACCATCCTTCGTTCGTCTCCTCTGCTGTGAATTAGGTCTAAGACGCTGCTGGATGTGAGGTGTATTTGGGAAATCTACCGTTCCCCATCTGCCATGGTCAATTTGGGCCAAGCGTTTCATTCCGTCCCGCCTCCTCTGTTCCCGTCTTCCCCTCCCTTCCCCCCCCCCCCCCCCCCCCCCCCGCCCACTCCTCTCCCCCGTCCGCCCACCTCCGCGCAGGACGAGGTGCGCACGTGCGCGTATCGGGACGCGCTGATGCGGCACGCGGATCGCATCCGCGGGAAGGTGGTGGTGGACGTGGGGTGCGGCACGGGCATCCTCAGCATCTTCGCCGCGCGGGCCGGCGCCAGGAAGGTGATCTTCGGGGGGAGAGGGGGGGGGGGAAGGGGGCGGTTGGGGGGAGGGGAGGGGAAGAAGCGGAGGGGGGAGCGCAGGGGGAGCGGGAGGTGTTATTCGCGCAAAGTGGAGGGACCAAGGAAAGGGAGGATTGACGAAAGGGAATAACGAACGATGGATGTGGTATGTATGGAGCACACAAGGGGGGTGCTTGGATAGGATAGACAGGACAGGCAGGTGTTGGACCGAGGTAGTGATGGTAGCAAGAATAGTAAGACATGTCAGGCGGAAGCAGGTGGAATTCAATTCAAGCAGGATTGGCGCCGTTTCCTCCTTGTTCAGCATTCGTAGCTCACTCACTGATTCAGCTCAGCAGGAACATAAGCAGCTCATCGTTGTTCTGCTGCACCATATGGGCTCTCCATTTCACTCTCCCGCTTTCTCTCATCTCATGTGCACCTTCTCTTCGCCTCTCCTCCCCCCTCCTCCTCCCCCCCCCGCCCCTCACCTCTCCTTCCGTGGTGGTATCCTCTCAGGTCTATGCTATTGATGCCAGCGATATTGCCATCCATGTAAGACGCTCCTCTGCCTCGCCCCATGCCCTTGCCACACTTCCTTCCCACGTCCCACGTCCTTCCCACGTCCTTCCCACGTCCTTCCCACGTCCTTCCCACGTCCTTCCCACGTCCTTCCCACGTCCTTCCCACGTCCTTCCCACGTCCTTCTCACGTCCTTCCCATGCTCTTCCCATGCCCTTCCCTTGCCCTTCCTCTCCTCCCCCCACCGGCACTCACATGCTTCTCCAGATTACTCTGTTGTCCTCTTTCCTTCCCTCTCCCTCCTCCGCGCTCCAACGGTCTTTGTCACTCACCCCTGTCACTCTTAACCACCCTGTGTCGCTCTTGTGAACGATACTTGAGAATTCCAAACAACCTCCTTGTCCCTCCTTGGCACTGCCCCTCTCTCGCCTCCCCTCTCGCCCCTCCTACCGCCCTCACCCCCATCAGGCACAGCAGGTGGTGCAGGCCAATGGGCTGTCTGACGTCATCACGGTTTTGCACAAGAGAGTGGAGGTGAGAAACGGTGCAGCGGAGGGGATGTGAGAGCATGGTGGGAATAAATGGTGGGGTTGGGAGAGCATGCATCGTGCCATGGTTGTCTGTTGGACGCACATGCATCGTGCCTCTCTTATTCGCTTGCTTGCTTGCGAGCTGCCTCTCACAATGGTCCTGTTACTGTTTTTGAAAGGTGCCAGTCCATCCATCCGTCCGTCTGTCTGTCAGCTTGTCTGCGGTTGCAAAATTGTTGTCCTGCCCGTGTGTGTGTGTGTGCGTGTGCCTGCGTGCGTGTGCGCGTGCGTGCGTGCAGGAGGTGGAGTTGGAGGAGAGGGCGGATGTGCTGGTATCGGAGTGGATGGGCTACATGCTGCTCTACGAGGTGAGCCCACCACCCATCCACCACTCCACACATTCCCTACGAGGTGTGCGTGTGTGCCTGTGTGCGTTGGAGGAGAGGGCGGATGTGCTGGTATCACCCTTCCACCCCCATCACCCCCATCACCCCCTTCACCCCCATCACCCCCATCACCCCCTTCACCCCCATCACCCCCATCACCCCCATCACCCCCATCACCCCCATCACCCCCATCACCCCCATCACCCCCATCACCCCCATCACCCCCATCACCCCCATCACCCCCATCACCCCCATCACCCCCATCACCCCCATCACCCCCATCACCCCCATCACCCCCATCACCCCCATCACCCCCATCACCCCCATCACCCCCATCACCCCCTTCACCCCCATCACCCCCATCACCCCCATCACCCCCATCACCCCCTTCACCCCCATCACCGCCATCACCCCCATCACCCCCATCACCCCCATCACCCCCTTCACCCCCATCACCCCCATCACCCCCATCACCCCCATCACCCCCATCACCCCCATCACCCCCTTCACCCCCATCACCCCCATCACCCCCATCACCCCCATCACCCCCATCACCCCCATCACCCCCATCACCCCCATCACCCCCATCACCCCCATCACCCCCATCACCCCCATCACCCCCATCACCCCCATCACCCCCATCACCCCCATCACCCCCATCACCCCCATCACCCCCATCACCCCCATCACCCCCATCACCCCCATCACCCCCTTCACCCCCATCACCCCCATCACCCCCATCACCCCCTTCACCCCCATCACCGCCATCACCCCCATCACCCCCATCACCCCCATCACCCCCATCACCCCCATCACCCCCATCACCCCCATCACCCCCATCACCCCCATCACCCCCATCACCCCCTTCACCCCCATCACCCCCATCACCCCCATCACCCCCATCACCCCCATCACCCCCATCACCCCCATCACCCCCATCACCCCCATCACCCCCATCACCCCCATCACCCCCATCACCCCCATCACCCCCATCACCCCCATCACCGCCATCACCCCCATCACCCCCATCACCCCCGTCACCGCCATCACCCCCATCACCCCCATCACCGCCATCACCCCCATCACCCCCATCACCCTTCCACCCACCCACCACCCACGCATTCCCTACTGCCTCTGCGCTTCCACCCTCTCTGCCTCCCTCCTTCCTTCCGTGTGCCTCCCTCCCACGTGATTTCTTCAACTCCATTTCCATTACTCTCCTTTCCCATTCCACTCGCACTCTGAACCCCAGCTTGATGAATCCCTTTGCCTCTTCCTCTGCCTTTGCCTTTGCCTTTGCCTCTGCCTCTGCCTCTGCCTCTGCATCTGCCTCTGCCTCTGCCTGTGTGTCAGACCATGCTGCCTGCAGTGATAGCGGCCAGGGACCGTCTCTTGAAGCCAGGAGGGCTCATCCTGCCATCGCATGCCACCGTATGTACGTCACCATGCCATGCCGTGCCATGCCATGCCATGCTGTTCCATGCCATGTTGCGTCATGCCTCTCCTATGGCAGTGGCTACTAGCTAGACGGAAATTTTCTTTACCCAGGCCCGCATCCCACTCCCTTTCCCCCAAACGCCACCCTCCTTGCCCGGTGCCCTATGTCCTGTGCCCCGTATATCCCATGCGTGCAGCTGTTCATCGCTCCTGTGTCATGTGAAGACCGGTTTGAGGACGGCACAGCCTTCTGGAGCGACGTGCATGGCATCGACAGTGAGTGCTGCTGTGCTGCTGGGCTGCTGGGCTCAGCATGGGACTCGCACTCACTACACTCGTGATGATATCCACGGCATTCTGATTGCATTCTGATTGCATTCTGATTGCATTCTGATTGCATTCTGATTGCATTCTGATTGCGTTCTGATTGCGTTCTGATTGCGTTCTGATTGCGTTCTGATTGCGTTCTGATTGCGTTCTGATTGCGTTCTGATTGCGTTCTGATTGCATTCTGATTGCATTCTGATTGCATTCTGATTGCATTCTGATTGCATTCTGATTGCGGTAGCTCTTTCACGAGTCCGTCACCCCCAGACTTCACTCGCACCCCTCACCCACACACACCTACTATTTCCTCCTAACTCCTCTCCTTTCCGATTTCTTCTCTAACTCCCCCTCCCCCGTCCCTCTCGCCCCACAGTGTCGGCGCTGGTACCCCTGGCGAAGAAGTGCTATTTCACAGACCCCTGTGTGGAGAACATCACAGCAGAGCACGTTCTAGGGGAGCCCTCTGTGGTGAGATGCAGGGGTCGAGAGGGGTGCACAAAGGTGGTTTGGGACGGGTAGGGGCGGATATGGGTGGATGGGAGGGGGCGGGACGAGGCGTTAGTGGGTGGATAGGTGTGAATAGGGGCGGATAAAGGGCATTTTTAGAGGTTACTGGAGGGGATAGGAGGGGAGGGTGGAACGCTTGGGGTGGTGAGAGGAGGAGAGGGGGAGAGGGGGAGTGGATAGGGTGGGAAGGAGGAGTGGTGGTTCACAAGTACTTGAAGGGCTGCTTGAGTTGAGATGCTCATTTGTGCTGGGCTCTCTGTTTTGTGCTTTCTGCCGCATTTGTGAGGCCCCGCGCCTCAAATGCTCATTTGTTGTGCTTGTCTATTTATGCTGGGCTCTCTGTTTTGTGCCTTCAGTCGCATTTGTGAGGCCCCGCGCCTCAAATGCTCATTGGTTGTGCTTGTCTTCCTGGTCTGTGCTGCGCTGCGCTTGTGTGCGTGTGATGGTGCGTGTGCGATGGTGATGCGAGCAGGTGAAGCGCATAGACTGTGCGACGGTGACAGAGGAGGACCTGCAACTTGTAGAGGCAGACTTCTCTTCAAAGTCCATGATCGTGTGTGAGTGGGTCATGGTGTGTGGGTGGGTGATGGTGTGTGGGTGGGTGATGGTGTGTGAGTGGGTCATGGTGTGTGGGTGGGTGATGGTGTGTGGGTGGGTGATGGTGTGGGGAGGGCTTGTGAATGGCTAACCAAATATGAATGAGTATGAGTTCCTGGTAACACTGCACTTGTCTACGACCATCACATGCGTGGTTTCTATCAATGTCACCACTCTTTTCTCCCTCCCACTACCTTTACACACCCTGCTCGCTCGCCCATCCTTCCTTGTCTTCCCTCCACTATCACCCGCCGTGCCTCTCCAGCCCCACTGACCGGCTTTGCCTTCTGGTTCTCCGTGGAGTTCAACAATCATCCCAGCCCTATCGCCGCGCCCACCCTCTCGCGACCATCTGCTGCCTCTCCTGCTCCTGCTCCTGCTCCTGATGCTCCTGCTGCTCCGGCTGCTGCTGATGCTGAGATTGCTGATGCCCCTTCCGAAGGCTTTGTTCCCAGTGGTGCTGATGCAGCCACCGCCCCTGCATCTGAGGCTGCTGCTGCTGCTGATTCTACTGCTGCTGCCGCTACCGCTAGTCCAGGGGGAGACAGCACAGACGCCATGGTGACAGACAGTGTGGTGCTCTCCACAGCACCAGAGGACACGCCAACACACTGGATGCAGGTGAGATTCCCCCACCGCCCTCTCTTCTCTTCCCCTCGCACGTCTTTTGGTTCTGGCACCTTGAGAGGACTTGCCTGCCTGCCAGCCAGCACAGTGCCTGTCTTCCGTGCACTCGCTTCCTCACTAACCCCGCTTCCTCACTCGCTCCTTCTCTCCTTCGTAATTGCCCCTTTTATCTTACACTTACCCTTTCTCCTCGCCTCTCATCTCCTCGTCTCTCCTCCACGTGTCCCCCTGTCTCTCCCTTCCCTGCCTTACCCCCCTCACGCTCAATCCCGACTTCAACGTGAACATGTGCCCCATCTCCATCCATCCTCTTTGAACGTGTGCCATGCCTGTGCGGATCAGACGGTGCTGTATGTGGGGGAGATGTATCCGGTTCACCAGGATGATGTCATCAGTGGCCACGTCACCATCACGCCCAATAAGGAATGCACCCGCTTCCTCGACATTGGTCTCTCCTACCAGTAAGAGCTTTCCCTACCCTCCCCCCACCCCCCCACCTCGCCATCTCCCGCCCCCTCCGCTCCACACCCACGCGACTTACTCTCTCACCGTCCCTGACCCCCCTCACGTCTCTTGCCATGCAACTCTCCCTCTGCTCCTTATGCTGCATTTCTATAAAGCATGTTACCCATGCTCGGGCCATCATGCTATGGGCATGCTACGGTAGGTGTGGTAGCGGTAGGTCTAATGCTGCTGTCCTCCTAATCCATCTCATACCATGATATGACGTTATCACATCCGTGCCACTGTTTCCGAGTGCTTCAGGACTCCTACCACGAGTGGTTCCAAGACTTTCACTATGCGATGATGGAAGCGGAAAGCACTTTCAGAATGCACGTCCGTAAAGCTGTGAAATACATAGAAAGCGGTCCATTACACATGCTTTCCTTGCGCATGATGGGTATAAGGGTTGCAGATATCCAAAATCAGTAATCACTGAAACTCTTGTTTTCATGAAAGTCTACATGTTTGCAAGGCCAGAATCAGCCCTTGGTTTAGTTCAGTCAGTGCAACATAGTGTACGCAGATACAGTAGCCGATTATGTTAGTTTCCCCGCAACATCGAGACCCGATCTGACCGCATCGCACATTATGCTTCAGGGCTCCACGCGGCACCACCAAAGTGGCTGTGCCAAACCAGCTGACAGGATGCGCAGGCGGCGCGTGGGCGACAAGAAAACACATTTGTTCGCGGAACCTCGCGCCTGCATGCGCAACCCAGACTTTTCCACACAAAACTTCCGCCCTCTCGCACAGATTTTCCTTTCGATCCACCCAGGCGAGGCTGAGCCACCTGTGAGAGCGCCTCGACGGAGTGAATTTGATCAGCGCTGCGAAAAAATGTTCCAATCGGCTCGTCAGGTCGCTCGTCCCACCGTCATCACTCCAACATGCGATGTGTGTGCTTCTTTGTTTTGTTGCCTGTCCAGCTGTGATGTCCCGTTTCCCTCCAATGCCTTCTGGATGGTGAAGAGAGGGATGTACGAGGACTGGTTGGGGAATCGGGATCTTTTGTGTGGGAAAACCATTTCGCATCACACTATAGGAACGATCGAAGAGATTTAGCCAGTGTTAGCTAATTTGCTCAGCCAGATCCTTCCGTTTCCTGCTCCGCATATCGTGGCAGCGAATGCCAGACCCTTGGGATTTCTTTCCCGTTGAATCTATCGCGAATACGCCTGTAGGATATGCCCATGGGCCTCTTAATCTCCGAGTCGATGCTGCTTCGCAGCGCCGAAGACTGGCTAAACATGACCTTCGGCGTGCGACCAGAGGACGTCGCGACATACCACCCAGTCTTTAAGGACGCGCTCCTATCGTCCGTGCGTACTAAGCTTCGTTACCCGGGTCTTCCCTCGCCGCATTTCCCCGCGAACCAGACTCTCTGGCCCCTGCCCGCGTCGATTACCGTCGGATCGCAACCATCCCGAGCCGCCGTTTCCACGTTCTCGCTCGAGCGAACAGAGTCGCATGACGAAGTCTCGTTACAGGCGTCCTTCTCGAGCCCGAAGGGCTCCGGCAATCTCGAGAATGACTCCGAACCTGTCTCGCCGCTCACGCCGCCGTCGCCCCAGACCCCCACCTTCTCTCCGCCCGTCTCGTTCTTCTCCCCGCGTCTCTCCGCGCCCTTCCGCCCGCTCCTCTTCTCCCCGTTCACCTGCGGAACCTCCTCGCCGCCCATCTCCCCCTCCACCTCCTCGTCCCGCCACCACCCTTCCAGCAACGACGATCTCTTCGAATCCCAGTCCCGGGATCTCCTCTCTCCCGCTCTCGATCCCCCAGAACCACTTCTGCTGACGCCTCCGTTCCTCACGCCGCATGACCCCGACGCTCCCAGCTCAACGGCGGCTGGGGGACGAGCCGGGGGGGTGCGCGCTTGCAGGAATACATGGGGAGAAAGCGCGGATGAAGGGGAATCCACTTCGGGATTTTCTTCCAGGAAGAGCTCCCCCGGTGGCGGCGGCGGCGGGCGGAAGGTGCGCGGACCAGTAGGCCGTTTACTATTCGATGATGAGGGGGACGGGGAGGAAAGGCGGAAGTGTGCGGGGCGGAAGGAAGTAGATTTGGAGGTGGATTCGAAGGAAGATTCCAGGTCGAGGAATTCGCAGGCTGCGGAGGGCAATTCGCAAGACTGGAATCTGTCCTGCGAGGTAACAGTGCATGCGGGGGATGTGAGGCTCACGAGGGACGACTGCGCGTCGTCCGCATCTTCTGAATCTCCGTTTTCGCCGAGTGCACCGGCAGCAGACGCATCGGCGGCAGGGAAAGCTGCGAGCGGCCGGCCGCGGTTCCTGGGCGGACACGTGGCCGCAGCGGATAGGTGCCGGGTGCTTGCGGAAGAGACGGCGCGGCTGGAGGAGGAGTACGAGGTGGGGGAGCGGCTGGGCAGCGGGCACTTCGGGTGCGTGCGGGTGTGCCGGGAGCGACGCACGGGCCGCCTGCTGGCGTGCAAGTCGATCGACAAGTCGAAGCTCAGATACTGGTACGGTTGGGCGTGGCTGTGAAGAGTTCGGAGTGGTTGCTGTGCTTTCAGTGCTCTCTGTGCGTGACTGGCTCCTTGCGTGAGTGGTGCAGATCAAGCGAGAGGTAGACACCTCAACAAGAAGGTTTTTTTTTTTGTTATGTCCCCTCGAACCCCCCGTGTTGGCGGCAGGGAGGACAGGGAGGACGTGCGGCGGGAAGTGGCGGTGATGTGCGTGGTGGGCGCGGGCGGAAATGACGCGGAGAGGGCGGACGGCGCGATGAAGACAGCAAATGGGGGAAACGAAAGTAGCGGAAGGCGCAGCGGAGGGAAGCTGTGCGGAGACAAAGACGGGGGGGTAAGGGAGACGGATTCTGACACGGGAGCGGCTGGCGGAGCGGAGAGCGGAACGGAGGGCGGAGAGGACGGCGGAGCGGGAGGCGGAGGGGGCGGCGGGTGCGTGCGGCTGCACGGCGTGTTGGAGGACGGCGCGGCGGTGCATCTGATCATGGACCTGTGCGCGGGGGGCGAGCTCTTTGACACTGTCGTGTCGCGCGGGCGACTCGCGGAAGACGAGGCCCGACACGTCATGGCGCAGGTGGGCCATTGGCGCTCGCTGCTACGGCTGCTTCTCTCTTCACACCGTTCGTCTCTCGATTCACGTCGCTTCGCCTGTGTATTCTCACGATGCAGCAGTTGGTGCCGGCGACTTCAAGCCGCCCTGAAGGGGCGTTTACTGTCTCCTTCAACTCTCGTTGCCCCCTCCGTCACACCTTCCCCACCTCACCTCGTCCTCCTGTACCCCCCTGTACCCCTCTGTACCCGTCATCAGGTGGCAGCAGCGGTGCGGCACTGCCACGCGCTAGGCGTTCTGCATCGCGACCTCAAGCCAGAAAACATCCTGCTGCAACTCCACCACCCGCTCGCTCCCTCCCGCCCTCCCTCCGCCCACGGACCCACCCTCCCCTCCTCCTCTTCGTCTTCCATCTCCCCTTCCGCGACCTCCGCCGGTTTTTCCGATTCCGCCTCGTCTGCAGCCTCGTGCCACCCGCAGCCCTTGCAAAGCAAAGCCCGCTCGCACCCGTCCCTCCTTTCCCCCAACATCCGCGTTAAACTCGCTGATTTCGGGCTCTCCGTGTTCCTGCCCCCCGGGCAGCTGGTAAAAGGTTTAGCGGGCAGCCCGTACTATCTGGCGCCGGAGGTTCCGAGCGGGTGGTATGGGTTCCCGGCGGATATATGGAGTCTGGGCGTGGTGCTGTTCCTCATGCTGTCGGGGCACGTGCCTTACTATGGCTCGACAGATGCTGAGATTCTACGAGCCATTGCCGTGGGGTCGCTGGAAGGGGAAGAGGAGGAGGACGGGGATGGGGGAGCGGAAGGGGGACGGGAGAGGGGAGAGGTGGGGAAGGTGGAGAGGAAGGGGGGCCGGGGGGAGGAGAGGAAGGGGGTGTGGAAGAGGATGTGTGGGGAGGAGTGGGAGGGGGTGAGCGAGGAGGCAAAGGAGTTGGTGGCGTGGATGCTGAGGCGGCGACCGGAGGAGAGACCCACTGCACAGCAGGTGCTGCTGCACCCCTGGATGCAAAAGAGCAACGCGGGAGGGAGAGGCGCAAGGGACGGTGGGCAGAGTGCGGGGACGCGTGGGGAGGGGACGGGTGGAGGGAGGGGTGTGAGCGGGACGGAAGAGGGTTGTGAGCTGCAGAGCAGGGGGGGCAGCGGTGAAGGGGATTGCAGCAGCGCTGCCTCCAGCACCAGAGCCAGATGCAACATCGGAAGCAACAGCAGCAGCAATAGCAGCAGGGGCAGCAGCCGCAATGGAGAAGTTACGGAAAGCATAAGTGATTCGGGCGCCTCTTCTCCTCCTGTCCCTGCCCCTCCTCCTCTTCCTCCCCCTCCTCCTCCTGCTCATCATCCCCATGCTACCACTGCCGCCAACCTCCTCCATTCCGGTCCCACCACTCTAGTCTCTCTCCTTCGCTCCCCGTTCTCCTCCCCCCGCGATCCTTTCTCCTTCCCACACTCCCGCCTCCACCCATCTCCGGACCCAACACCAGGTGCAGGAAACGCCACTAGATCTGTGCTGTCCCCGTCCCCTTTACAAGGTGCTTCAATACAAGGGTGTGTTGAGCCGCCAGTGCTGCACGCGCTTCTGGGTGACGCTGGTCCTGAACTGGGGGAACAGTTGAGCGGGGTGGCGAGCGGTGCAGAGGAAGAGAGAGGGGTACAGTGGAGTGGAGATGTAGCTGTATTGCAAGACGAGGTGGTGGTGGAATGGGGTAGAGGGGAGGTGGAGCAGAGAGGGGAGCAGGAGGAGTTGGAGGAAGCAGATGGAGGGGAAGATATGTGGGAGAGAATTGAGTTGTCGGAGAGCGATGGGGACAGCTGCAGGGACGCTAGCAGTGGATGTGAGAGCGGTGGTGCTGATGTGAGTGCAGAAAGTGGTGTAATGCAGGGCTGGGGTGGTGACTTAGATGAGAGGCGTTACTGTTTCCAGGTAGATAGTGACAACAACAGCCAGTTCCAAGAGGACGCAGAGCAGGAAAAGCAGTGGCAGCAGGGGCAGAAGGAGCAGCACGGGCAGCAGCAGGGAGAGTGTGCCAAGAGCAACAGTGGCATGGACGAAGCTGCTTTGGTGGAGAAAGGAGCAGGTCTGCAGGGAGCAGTGGTGCAAGGGCAGACAAGAGACATGGGAGGTAAGGGGAGGGAGCTGGAGGCTCCAAGAGAATCAGCCTGGTTGGGCATTATGACATCGGAGAGGGAAATGTGCTCTCAGTTAGATTTAGTCGAGAGCTTTTACTTGCTGCTGTAGGCAGTTAGACATGTACTTGTAGGAGCTAGCCTTTGATTAGGTGTGTCAAGCATCTTATTGACATTGTAATTTTTGGAATACAATTATAGCAAGCATTGAAACAGTTGGTTTGAAAAGGGAGCATTATATATAAAAAAAATGTAAAGCACGCTTGTTGCCATTGTTTTGACATTATGATAGATTGTTGTGGCACTTTTAGGCTGTCTTCGGAGCACCAATTCCATCATAGTAATGTGATAGTTTTATAGACCTCAAGCCATCAGTTTCAAAGAGGCAGCAGCAATACAAAAATTGGCCAAATTCAACTAATCTCGAGGGAATCACATTTTTTGGCGGGAAGGGAACAACGAGGGCCAGTCTGAGACGCCTTGGTGCTTGGAAGGGAGTGCCAAGGATCAACTGAAGCACTACTCAGCAGCTAATATCCTAATTACCTGGGAGATTTGTTTGTATCATTTTCTGAACATGGCGAGGGCATTTCGTGACTGTTTTATGTAACGCCAGTCACGCAAACGAGTCTCCGTAGTCCTCGCCATCTCGCAATCTCGCATGACGTTAGCTGCTGCGAGCAGCTGACATGGCGGGCTCTCCTGGCGATGCGACGCCGTTTTTGCCGCAGCTTGGCTCGCCTGCTGCGGGACCCGCGCCTATTGTCACGTCGCCCGGATACCGCACGGTTCAGGTGCGGGGAGAGCGGGGAAGGGAGCGAGTCAGAGACGCAGGCGAGTCGGGCATTCGTGATCCTTCTGAGAAATTTCACGATTGACGCCAATTATTGCTGGTCTCATGGTGTCATGACAGTGCCATCCGTGTTCCTTTCCGTCTCGGCGTTCCCAGTGGGCCGTCTATTCGCACCGCATCACCTCACTCCCTCGCTAGTACCTACCATGGAGTTTTCTCTTTCACTTCTGAGAATTCTCGAAAGTGATACAACCGTTCTCCTTTTCGCCGTGACCCTTTCCTCCCTCATTTCAAAGGCCTTGCTTAGTCCTGACATACCATTCATCCCTTCCTGTCATCCCCATCCCGTGTTATCCAATCAGAGACCGCCACGTGCAGCAGTAAGGCAGTTGTTCCCCTCCACTGCAACGTCTGGCACTGCTGCCACTGCTCTCACTGCTCCTGATGCTGCCACTGCTGCAACTACTGCCACTGTTACCACTGCTCCCGCTGCTTCCACCGCTCCCACTGCTCCTGCTGTTCCCGCTGCTCCACCACTCATCGCATCAGTTGGGCATTCAACCCTCATTAGCAACCAGCAGCGCATGAGCAGATCCAATGACGCCCGCAACACCACCGTTGGCAGCAACAGCAGCAGGAATATCAACAGAAACGCCAGCAGCAGCACCCACGGCAACGCCAGCAGCAGAGCTGCTGCTGCTGCTGCTGCTGCTGCCAGCGCCAGAGGCAGCAGCAACGGCAGCGGCAGTGGCAGGGGAGGCACGAGCAGCAGCATTATGAGCAGCCTTGCTGCCATTCCGTCGAATCTAGCTGCTGCTGCTCTCACCACCTTCTCACCCTCTCTCGCCACTGCGCTGTTTGGCGCTGGTCGAAGCAGCTCCATCCTTCCCACCCTCTCTTTCTCCCCCTCCTCCTTCCCCGCCTCTCCAACCCTTCTCCCTGCTGATCTCACATCAATCCTTCCATCCCTATATGCATCACTTAATGCCTCCCCCTCCTCTTCTGCTTCTGCTACTTCTACTTCTTCCTCCTCCTCCTCTTCCTCTTCCTCCTCCTCGTCACTCTCGCGACACCCCTCCACCAACCTCCCCTCCACCTCTCGCCCCCCCATAGCCCCTCATTCGCAGTCCCTTCACGCGCTAGCTCGCGCCAGAAGAGCATACGCGTCAGCAGCAGCTCCGGTTTCCGCACCTCCAGCACCATCCACTGCAGCAGCGAGAGCAGCGGAAAGAGACGATCCAGCAGCAGCAAGAACAGCACCACGAGAAGCAGCAGAATCATCGGCAGGGCCATCGGGTGTAAGGTCTTGGTCGTCGCACCAGCAAGCATCAGAGGACACGCCTCTGTTGTCGTCAAGTGAGGGAGGGCGGTGGCAGCATGCGAGCGGGGTGGACTGGGGTCGCCCGGCTGCTCTAACGAGAGGCAATGTGCTTGAAAATGGGAGCGGGGAGGGAGGAGAGGGAGATGGGGGAGAAGGGGGAAGGGGGGAAGGTGGGGGAGGGGAGGGAGCCGAGGGATCAGAGGGAGAGTGGGAGGGTGGGAGCAGGTCTCCGTTTCTCCATGCAGTGTCTCAGAAGGTAGTACACGCCCCTTCCTCCATGCGGCAGTCACAAGCCTGGGCAGGGATGTGGGCGGGCATGTGTGCGAGCGTGTGTTTCTCTTGTGTGTTCCTCTTGCCATTATGAGTTCCTTTTTCAGCCACAGTCGTTTGATCTGCTGTTATTCCCTCCCATCAGCCCATCACCTAATGTCCTCGTCCCATGGTCATTCATTCGCCTCGTGCACACCCACCCTCCCGCCCCTCCCTGCCTCCACCCTCCCTCCGTCCCCACCTTACCACCAGCCCACGGCAGTGTTTCTGCAGATAATGTTCCTCGTGAGTTGCCTCGCTGCCACCCTGCCCTCCACCCTTTCCTGCATGTCCTCGTTGCGTTAGTGCTCTTTCCTGTAAATTGCCGTCCACAACTCATTAAAGAATCACCTCCCTGCCATTACGCCTCATCCCTCACTCCCTTAATAAGCCCCCCCTCCATCTCCCCGCTTCTCATGTCCTCTCCCCTCTTTCAAACCCCTGACCCCGCACTCTCGTCTCCCCTCACCCCTCAAATTCCTCCCCATATTTCCGCACCACAAATACAACACTCACTCAAGGGAACTCTCAAAGCTGTGACTACCCCTCATAGCCCTGCCTTGCCTTGCCTTGCCTGTCCCCGCTTCTTCCTCCGCACACCATGTACCTGCACGTCCTGGCCGCTTCTTCCATGCCGTGCACAGGCTCAAGACGAGTGGCCGCTGCTTTTGGTGGCTATGCTGCCTCTCCTCGTGTCCGCCCTCACCACCCTGGCTCTGGTACGTGCATGCGTCTCCACACCACACACGCCACACCACACACGCCACACCACACACGCCTCACCACACACGCCACACCACACACGCCACACCACACACGCCACACCACACACGCCACACCACACACGCCACACCACACACGCCACACCACACACGCCACACCACACACGCCACACCACACACGCCACACCACACACGCCACACCACACACGCCACACCACACACGCCACACCACACACGCCACACCACACACGCCACACCACACACGCCACACCACACACGCCACACCACACACGCCACACCACACACGCCACACCACACACGCCACACCACACACGCCACACCACACACGCCACACCACACACGCCACACCACACACGCCTCACCACACACGCCACACCACACACGCCACACCACACACGCCACACCACACACGCCACACCACACACGCCACACCACACACGCCACACCACACACGCCACACCACACACGCCACACCACACACGCCACACCACACACGCCACACCACACACGCCACACCACACACGCCACACCACACACGCCACACCACACACGCCACACCACACACGCCACACCACACACGCCACACCACACACGCCACACCACACACGCCACACCACACACGCCACACCACACACGCCACACCACACACGCCACACCACACACGCCACACCACACACGCCACACCACACACGCCACACCACACACGCCACACCACACACGCCACACCACACACGCCACACCACACACGCCACACCACACACGCCACACCACACACGCCACACCACACACGCCACACCACACACGCCACACCACACACGCCACACCACACACGCCACACCACACACGCCACACCACACACGCCACACCACACACGCCACACCACACACGCCACACCACACACGCCACACCACACACGCCACACCACACACGCCACACCACACACGCCACACCACACACGCCACACCACACACGCCACACCACACACGCCACACCACACACGCCACACCACACACGCCACACCACACACGCCACACCACACACGCCACACCACACACGCCACACCACACACGCCACACCACACACGCCACACCACACACGCCACACCACACACGCCACACCACACACGCCACACCACACACGCCACACCACACACGCCACACCACACACGCCACACCACACACGCCACACCACACACGCCACACCACACACGCCACACCACACACGCCACACCACACACGCCACACCACACACGCCACACCACACACGCCACACCACACACGCCACACCACACACGCCACACCACACACGCCACACCACACACGCCACACCACACACGCCACACCACACACGCCACACCACACACGCCTCACCACACACGCCACACCACACACGCCACACCACACACGCCACACCACACACGCCTCACCACACACGCCACACCACACACGCCACACCACACACGCCACACCACACACGCCACACCACACACGCCACACCACACACGCCACACCACACACGCCACACCACACACGCCACACCACACACGCCACACCACACACGCCACACCACACACGCCACACCACACACGCCACACCACACACGCCACACCACACACGCCACACCACACACGCCACACCACACACGCCACACCACACACGCCACACCACACACGCCACACCACACACGCCACACCACACACGCCTCACCACACACGCCACACCACACACGCCTCACCACACACGCCACACCACACACGCCTCACCACACACGCCACACCACACACGCCTCACCACACACGCCACACCACACACGCCACACCACACACGCCACACCACACACGCCACACCACACACGCCACACCACACACGCCACACCACACACGCCACACCACACACGCCACACCACACACGCCACACCACACACGCCACACCACACACGCCACACCACACACGCCACACCACACACGCCACCACACACGCCACACCACACACGCCTCACCACACACGCCACACCACACACGCCACACCACACACGCCACACCACACACGCCACACCACACACGCCTCACCACACACGCCACACCACACACGCCTCACCACACACGCCACACCACACACGCCACACCACACACGCCACACCACACACGCCACACCACACACGCCACACCACACACGCCACACCACACACGCCACACCACACACGCCACACCACACACGCCACACCACACACGCCACACCACACACGCCTCACCACACACGCCACACCACACACGCCACACCACACACGCCACACCACACACGCCACACCACACACGCCTCACCACACACGCCACACCACACACGCCTCACCACACACGCCACACCACACACGCCACACCACACACGCCACACCACACACGCCACACCACACACGCCACACCACACACGCCACACCACACACGCCACACCACACACGCCACACCACACACGCCACACCACACACGCCACACCACACACGCCACACCACACACGCCACACCACACACGCCACACCACACACGCCACACCACACACGCCACACCACACACGCCACACCACACACGCCACACCACACATGCCACACCACACACGCCACACCACACACGCCACACCACACACGCCACACCACACACGCCTCACCACACACGCCACACCACACACGCCACACCACACACGCCACACCACACACGCCACACCACACACGCCACACCACACACGCCTCACCACACACGCCACACCACACACGCCTCACCACACACGCCACACCACACACGCCTCACCACACACGCCTCACCACACACGCCTCACCACACACGCCTCACCACACACGCCTCACCACACACGCCTCTCTCATACTCTCCTTTCCAGCATCTTTGCTTCTATGGTTCATCTATTTCAACCGATGCCAAGGTGAATCCCAGGCTGCCCCTCAACCGAGGCTGCCCCTTAATAGCCTCAATCCTCTGTCCCTTCACTCTTTGCACCTCCTCCCCCACAACCACCCCTCTCGTCCCCCTTCCCCCCCATCCCTGGCGCTACCAGGCGCACTATGCGGGGCGGGTGGTGGCGCTGGTGAGTGCAACGAGCAGGGGCAGCGAGGAGGCGTGGAGGGCGTTTCTCGCCCAGCTCACAGAGACTGTTTTCTTCATGGCTGCCTCCGTTGTGCTGGGGTACGCTGCTCCCATGCTCTGCTGCTACTCCCCTGCTCCGCATGTACCGATTTCTGAGCTGCTCTCAGAGAAGCTTTCTACGTGGCCCATGCATGGCTGTGCTGTGGGTACCATACCATAGGGTGGTTCGCACGTTCCTCTTTCTCAACCGTCTGGAAAATCCTCCATAGGCACCTCTAAGATTTTTTTTTTTTTTTTTTTTTTTTTTTTTCATGTTCCATGGCAGGGCGGTGGGCACCATGGTGCGGACGTTCCTCTTCTCATCCGCCAGTGAGCGCGTAGCAGCACACATCAAGACCAAGCTCTTCCGATGCCTGCTCGCCCAGGTACTCCCAGGTACGGTACTCGCCGGTACGGTACTTGCCGGTACAGTACTCCCAGGTACGGTACCCACAGGTGCGGTACTCGCCGGTACGGTACTCGCCGGTACGGTACTCCCAGGTATGGTACTCGCTTCGCTGGTATGGTTCTCCTAGGAACGGTTTTCCTAGGTACGGTACTTACAGGTGCACAAATTCCCGCGCACGAATCCCCTCTGCACCCCCACCCCTCTCCCTCCCCAGGACATGGCGCTGTACGACAGTGTGCGCGTGGGCGAGGTGGCAAGACGGTTGACAGACGACACAGGGCTGGTGAGGAGCGCGCTGGGCACGGGCACACCAGAGGGCCTGCGCTCTCTCTCCACTGCTGCCTGCGGCCTGCTGCTCATGCTCGCCATCTCGCCCACTCTCACAGGTCGGGGGAAGAAACGGGGACGGGGGAGGAGTGGGAGGGAGAGTGTTGGTGTGTTGGATGTCAGGTCAGGGCGTGGCCACAGACGCAGCAAGAGGTGCTGCTACTGGAGGGTATTGGTATGCGCTGCTTGCGCTGCTTCTAGGGCCCAAGCCCACAGGCCTTGCAATGCAACAGTCCTTGTTGTCATCTTCCCAGTCAAGCATTCATCGCTCCTGAGTCTTTCCATGCATGCTCGAAATAGGCATGCATAGCATGAATGCCTATTCCTCCTCAACTCCACACCGTGCATGCTCTCATCCCCAATCTTCCCACTTCCATTTTCCAACCCCCGACCTGCCCACCCGCCCATCTCAACACGTCGCCCTCGCACCATACCCCCACGGCCTCCTACCAGTGCTGGCGCTCGTGGTGTTGGTGCCCGTGGCAGTAGCAGTGCGGCACTACAGTTACGCCATTAGAGCCCTGGCTAGGGACGCCCATGCCGCTGCTGCTACTGCCGCTGCCGTTGCCGAGGTGAGTCGGGTGGGGACTTGTGTGGGGAGATGTGTGGGCGGGAGTGGAGGATGTGGTGAGAGGAAGCCTTGGTCCACGGGCGCGCCTTGGTCCACGGGCGCGCCTTGGTCCACGCGCGCGCCTTGGTCCACGCGCGCACCTTGGTCCACGCGCGCGCCTTGGTCCACGGGCGCGCCTTGGTCCACGGGCGCGCCTTGGTCCACGCGCGCGCCTTGGTCCACGCGCGCGCCTTGGTCCACGCGCGCGCCTTGGTCCACGCGCGCGCCTTGGTCCACGCGCGCGCCTTGGTCCACGGGCACGCCTTGGTCCACGCGCGCGCCTTGGTCCACGCGCGCGCCTTGGTCCACGCGCGCGCCTTGGTCCACGCGCGCGCCTTGGTCCACGCGCGCGCCTTGGTCCACGCGCGCGCCTTGGTCCACGCGCGCGCCTTGGTCCACGCGCGCGCCTTGGTCCACGCGCGCGCCTTGGTCCACGCGCGCGCCTTGGTCCACGCGCGCGCCTTGGTCCACGCGCGCGCCTTGGTCCACGCGCGCGCCTTGGTCCACGGGCGCGCCTTGGTCCACGGGCGCGCCTTGGTCCACGGGCGCGCCTTGGTCCACGCGCGCGCCTTGGTCCACGGGCGCGCCTTGGTCCACGCGCGCGCCTTGGTCCACGGGCGCGCCTTGGTCCACGCGCGCGCCTTGGTCCACGCGCGCGCCTCGGTCCACGGGCGCGCCTTGGTCCACGCGCGCGCCTTGGTCCACGGGCGCGCCTTGGTCCACGCGCGCGCATTGGTCCACGGGCGCGCCTTGGTCCACGCGCGCGCCTTGGTCCACGGGCGCGCCTTGGTCCACGCGCGCGCCTTGGTCCACGCCTTGGTCCACGCGCGCGCCTTGGTCCACGCTGTTAGAAATAGTCAGTCAACACTTTGTACTATATTCTATATCGGTTAGGTTACTTTGTAGGTTGGGTGTAGATTTGTAATCCCAACCCTATCTGGTTGGGATTCCCTCGTAATCCTGCAAATCTGCCAACTCACCAATTGGAGATTTGCTAGGATTCCCATCCCATCCTTTCCCTAGCTTTGCTCAACCCAACCGTGTTTGTACTTAAGGCCTCGTGCCTTCCTTATCAATCAATTAGTTCAGTTCCAATTCTATCATGGTATCAAAGCTAGTAAATTCCGCTCACGCGGAATCCGATCCTTGGCGTCCCGATGGTTCTCTCCTTCTAAGCTATGCCTATTTCGGCTCCCGGCTCCTACGCTTAGCGTTTTTCAGAAACTTCACATCGTCGCTCCGGTCAACCGCGCATTCGGCTTCCGTCATCGCGCTTCTCGTTTTTCTACGGCGACATTTTCAGCTTTCGACTTCCTTCATCGTAAGCGTTTGGTTTTTTTTTTAATCTCCGTGGAAATTTTCGCATCTTCTTAACTTCGAACAGGTTTTCAGCGGCGCAGCGGAACAGGTCCAGCGGCGCAGCGGAACAGGTCCAGCGGCGCAGCGGAACAGGTCCAGCGGCGCAGCGGAACAGGTTCAGCGGCGCAGCAGAACAGGTTCAGCGGCGCAGCAGAACAGGTTCAGCGGCGCAGCAGAACAGGTTCAGCGGCGCAGCAGAACAGGTTCAGCGGCGCAACAGAACAGGTCAGCGGCGCAGCAGAACAGGTTCAGCGGCGCAGCGGAACAGGTCAGCGGCGCAGCAGAACAGGTCAGCGGCGCAGCAGAACAGGTTCAGCGGCGCAGCGGAACAGGTCAGCGGCGCAGCAGAACAGGTCAGCGGCGCAGCAGAACAGGTCAGCGGCGCAGCAGAGAAGCGGAACAGGGGCAGCAGCGTAGCAGAACAGGGGGCATCGGCGAAGCAGTATAACAGGGTATATTACGGGCATTCTATTGCCGATACGGCGTCAACATTGTGAAGGGAAAATGGGTTTTCCGGGTGAAACAACTTCCAGGCGAATTTCCTGTCTTCAAAGCCCGGTACTGTGCCAAGGGATTTACCCAAAAGCGTGGACTGGACTTCTTTGAGACATTCTCTCCCACTGCCAAACCTCCCACACTGCGCACCCTCCTCGATGTGGCCGCTCGAGATGACATGGAGGTTGACTGCATGGATGTGTCTTCTGCGTTTCTGCAAGGGATCCTTCGAGAGGAAATCTACATGGAGCGGCCCGAAGGATTTCCAGCTCCTTTTCCACCAGGCACTGTATGGAAGCTCAATCGACCAGTATATGGCCTCAAGCAAGCACCCCGGGAATGTCACAACAAGCTCAAAAGCACCTTAGGGTCCCTCGACTTTCACCCATCCACCTCTGACCCCAGCCTCTTCATCCGAGCAACACCATCCCGCTTCTTCATCTTGGTTTATGTCGATGACATGATCCTTGTCACCAAGGATCAGACTGAGCTGGCAGCGGTCAAAACCGCACTTGGTGAGAAGCTGGCCATGAAGGATATTGGGAAGTTGACGAACTATCTGGGCATGGAAATCACACGTGATCGCACTGCCCGCACCATCACCCTCTCGCAGAAGTTCTACATCAACAACGTTCTGACCAGGTTCAAGATGCAGGAAGCAGCTTCAATGCCCATCCCACTCTCTCTGCAGCACCAACTCACTGCACCCTCTGTTCCCTCACCTGAGCCCTGTGATGAGGCTTACCCCGAGCTCGTTGGTTCCCTCATGTACGCGATGATGTGCACTCGCCCAGACTTGGCCTATCCAGTCAGTGTCCTGTCTCGCTACGTTGCACCTGGTCGCTTCACGAGCCACCACTGGTCTGCCGCCAAGCGGGTCCTCCGCTATCTCAAAGGCACACAGGACTATGTGCTCACTCTTGGCGGCTCTTCCCCTGGTCGCCTTGAGGGGTACAGTGACTCGTCCTATGCTGATGACCAGAGTGATCGGCGCTCTTCCCAAGGGTATTGCTTTACCCTTGGCAGTGGGGTTGTCAGTTGGCGCTCCACTCGGTCGTCTTCCGTCTCACTGTCGACCTGTGAGGCAGAGCTGTATGCCGGGACCATGGCTGCCCAGGAGGCCCGTTGGCTCTCCTTCTTGCTGGCGGAACTTGGGTATCCTCAACCAGCCCCAACACTTTGGTGTGACAACGAGAGCACCATTCATCTCACCAAGGACCCCGTCTTCCACGGCCGCACCAAGCACATTGAAGTCCGTCACTACTTTCTTCGTGAGCTGGTGCAGCGCGAGCAGCTGAAGGCTGAACACATTGCCTCCGACTGCAACCTTGCTGACTTGTTTACCAAGTCTCTTGTTCGTCAAGACCACTACCGACTCCTCTCGTCCATGGGTGTTGGACCGCCATGTGGCTGAAGTGTTGTCAGCCTAGGGGGTGTGTTAGAAATAGTCAGTCAACACTTTGTACTATATTCTATATCGGTTAGGTTACTTTGTAGGTTGGGTGTAGATTTGTAATCCCAACCCTATCTGGTTGGGATTCCCTCGTAATCCTGCAAATCTGCCAACTCACCAATTGGAGATTTGCTAGGATTCCCATCCCATCCTTTCCCTAGCTTTGCTCAACCCAACCGTGTTTGTACTTAAGGCCTCGTGCCTTCCTTATCAATCAATCAGTTCAGTTCCAATTCTATCACACGCGCGCGCCTTGGTTGGTCGACGCGCACGCCTTGGTTTACGCGCACGCCCTGGTCCACGCGCGCCCTGGTCCACGGGCGCGCCTTGGTCCACGGGCGCGCCTTGGTCCACGGGCGCGCCTTGGTCCACGCGCGCGCCTTGGTCCACGGGCGCGCCTTGGTCCACGCGCGCGCCTTGGTCCACGCGCGCGCCTTGGTCCACGCGCGCGCCTTGGTCCACGCGCGCGCCTTGGTCCACGCGCGCGCCTTGGTCCACGCGCGCGCCTTGGTCCACGCGCGCGCCTTGGTCCACGCGCGCGCCTTGGTCCACGGGCGCGCCTTGGTCCACGGGCGCGCCTTGGTCCACGGGCGCGCCTTGGTGCACGGGCGCGCCTTGGTCCACGGGCGCGCCTTGGTCCACGGCGCGCCTTGGTCCACGGCGCGCCTTGGTCCACGGGCGCGCCTTGGTCCACGCGCGCGCCTTGGTCCACGCGCGCGCCTTGGTCCACGCGCGCGCCTTGGTCCACGCGCGCGCCTTGGTCCACGCGCGCGCCTTGGTCCACGCGCGCGCCTTGGTCCACGCGCGCGCCTTGGTCCACGCGCGCGCCTTGGTCCACGCGCGCGCCTTGGTCCACGCGCACGCCTTGGTCCACGTGCGCGCCTTGGTCCACGCGAGCGCCTTGGTCCACGGGCGCGCCTTGGTCCACGCGCGCGCCTTGGTCCACGCGCGCGCCTTGGGCCACGGGCGCGCCTTGGTCCACGCGCGCGCCTTGGTCCACGGGCGCGCCCTGGTCCACGCGCGCGCCTTGGTCCACGGGCGCGCCTTGGTCCACGCACGCGCCTTGGTCCACGGGCGTGCCTTGGTCCACTGGCGCGCCTTGGTCCACTGGCGCGCCTTGGTCCACGCGCGCTCCTTGGTCCACGCGCGCGCCTTGGTCCACGCGCGCGCCTTGGTACACGCGCGCGCCTTGGTCCACGCGCGCGCCCTGGTCCACGCGCGCGCCCTGGTCCACGCGCGCGCCCTGGTCCACGCGCGCGCCCTGGTCCACGCGCGCGTCCTGGTCCACGCGCGCGCCCTGGTCCACGCGCGCGCCTTGGTCCACGCGCCTTGGTCCACGCGCACGCCTTGGTTCACGCGCGCGACTTGGTCCACGCGCGCGCCTTGGTCCACGCGCGCGCATTGGTCCACGCGCGCGCCTTGGTCCACGCGCGCGCCTTGGTCCACGCGCGCGCCCTGGTCCACGCGCGCGCCCTGGTCCACGCGCGCGCCTTGGTCCACGCGCGCGTCCTGGTCCACGCGCGCGCCCTGGTCCACGCGCGCGCCTTGGTCCACGCGCCTTGGTCCACGCGCACGCCTTGGTTCACGCGCGCGACTTGGTCCACGTGCGCGCCTTGGTCCACGCGCGCGCCTTGGTCCACGCGCGCGCCTTGGTC